ATATGTAAGGATGGTAGAGAGAGGGCGAGACTACCGATGGAATGTATGCAGCTGCAGCTGCAGCAGCAGCTGCGGCAACCGCGGCGCTGCTTGTTGTGGGCGTTGCATTCGGCGCTATTCCATGTGGACTGCCCGTGCCGCTGCCATTCAGCTGCGTTGGCGGATACATGTAATAGTGTAATGGCGAACCAGAAGCTGCAGCAACAGCGCTAGGCGAGCCACGTTGCAATTGAAGATGCCGCCGTTCCGGGGACGAAGTGCTGCGCTCGCCTGGCGAGGGGCAACTGTTGGCCGCGCTACTGCTATTACTATTGCTGGCAGTAGGTGAGGCGAATTCGCGTCGAATCGATGCAGTCTTTTTGGGCACTGTGCGGTGCGGTGTATTGGCAGCAACAGAGGCTGCTGCTGGCTCCCGTGGCGAGGCGCTGGAAGATCGAGGCGGTGACAACAAATCACGTGAGCCGGAACCACCACCCGTCTGTGGAATGTGCGGCGAAACAGTAGCGCCACCATATGGAGCATAGAAGGAATGATGCTGTAGCTGCTGTGCGTGCGCTTGTGCCAACTTATAGCTATCTGGCGGTGTGCGTCGTCCATAGTCGACAGGTAACGGTGATCCGGCAGCTACATAAGGCGGCGAACGTTGCTTCTTACTAGCCGCATGTGACGGCGACTTACCCCCATTACTGCCTCCCATTTCCGGCGACTTGGGTGAATTGAGCGTCGAACGTGGGTAGTTGGCGGAACTGGCGTACAATGAGTGATGATGGTGATGCTGATGATGCACGTTGCTGATTATTGCGGCCGGCTGGTCATGGCTCTTCTTGGAGGAGCTGCTACCGCTGCCACCCAATAATGAGTGTATGCTATATGAGCTATTCAGTCGGGTCGGTTGCGTTGCTACGGCTGCTGCTGCTACTGCTACTGAGGTCGATGAAGTTGTGGGCGTTGCCAAAACTTTAGCCTGTGGCGGCGCCAAATTTATGGGCATCGATTTGGTGGCCACTACGCTTGTTGTCGTGCTGCCTTTTGCACGACTACGCTTTCCCCCCGCGCCGCCGCTAATTCCGCCACCAACTCCACTACCATTGTTGACGCAGCCATTGTTATCCTCCAGCGATACCTTCTCGAATTCACGCAGAATGCGCTTGCGTGGAGACACATGTTGATGATGATGATATTCGACTAGACGGCTGGCAGCCGCTGCCGACGATGGCGGCGAGACCTAAAAGAGCGAAACAACATATATTAAAAGTGCAAATGAATACATATAAATAAAAATGGATATTAATTTGGTAATAAATGAATAGCAATTGGTACCTTATGCGCCAAAGAGTGACTTAGACTACCGATGGCTCCGCCACCGCTGCTGTTGCTGCTGATGCGATCTGCTGTTGAAACCACAGTTGACGCTGTTGTCGCCCCCGTAGCTGGTGTCTTTGACAATTGCTCTAGGCGCGCAGGCACGCCGTCAATTAATTTCTGTATGATGCTATTGAGCTTGGCTCTGGGTTTCTGCTTTTTAAGTCTTATGTCTGTCATCGTCGTTGTTGATTTTGTTGTTGGTGCTCCTGTTTTCCTTGTGTCTTTTTCACTGGCTGTCTCACACTTAGTGTGTGCTTTGGGATCACCATTTACTTCACTCGCATTTCCGTTCACCAAACCATCACATGTTGCAGCCGCCCCATCGTCCACTGTCACCGACATAGCATCCTCATCTTCACTTGTGTTCATTTTCTCTAATGTTGCCTCAGCTTTCGCTGTTGAATCATTCGAGTCTTTGTTGTCACTGGAACACGGCTTTGCCTTCGATTCCATCTTGCTCTCAGTCAACTGCTCCTTGATTGCTTCCGATTTAATCTCATCCGACTGCATTTCTGGTGTCTTTGTATCAATTTCAATAGCTTTAAGCGTTTCATCACCATTTTCCTGGGTAGAAACGCGCTCAAAGATTGATTGATGTTTCTCAGTTGCAATTGTTGGCTCATAGGGACGCCTTCGCTTACGCATTGCAGCCTGTCGTGCACTTTGGCTAAGCACATTGTGCCTGGGACGCTGGTAGTAGAGCGACAGTTCTTTGGAAATGCCACGACGGGGTCGCGTCTGCTTCCAGGGTTGGTCACGCTGCCAAGGTGATGACTGTATGGAGCTATTGTCATCCGAAACTGGAAGCACATAAATTGTTGAAATGATACTCCATACTAATAAAGCCATCTAAAACTTACAGCTTAATGATGTGGAATTTTCATTCTTTGGATACGTTGTTGTCACTGCCGATGTGGGCGTTACCGTGGCCGAAGTCGCTGCCGATGGTGTGCGAAATGGCTTACGCGGTACTGATACCCAGCTGCCTTTATCGCCACGTGCCAGTTCCAATATGAATTTACCTTCTGAAAAATAAAGGGAAAAATATCAAATATTTTCGATAGTTAGATAAACGTAATACGAGAGACAAACAAATTATCTATTCATATATTACAAACAATTTGCTAACCTTTAAAAAACTGGAGCCGGCCACCACAGCCGGACATGTTGTTATTGCTGTGCATTGATATTGGATGCCTGCCCATATCAAAGCTACTGCTGCCGTTGCCTGTGCCCACAAATTTGCTGCTCTTTGTAGCGCTGGGGCTATTCAATGCGCTATAGTCCAGGACGCCGGACATAACATCGACAGGCGCCTTTGGAGCTGTAACGCCTGCTCCACCGGCAACGAGCGCGGTAGCAGAGGCCGTCGCCATAATGAGACTTGAGCTGCTGCTGCTACTGCTACTATTGCTGCTACTGTTTGTTTTAGTTGATGATAATGTGGGCGAGGTGCCATTGGATGTTGATGTTGCTGTTGAAGAAGATGTCGCTGAATTTGTTGCGTTTGTTGCTGTTGCCGACGTTGTTGGCTTCAGTTCTGGTGCGGCAGGCAGTTGAAATGTGGCAGCAGCTGCAGCTGCTGTTAGCAGTGTGGCTGCTGCGGCTGCTGCTGCTGTATTTGTGCCGTTTATACCATTTTTGAGTAAAAATTTTGCAGCCGCCTCTGCAATTAAACGTTCGTTGTTGCTGTTGCTGTTGCTGCTTGTACTGTTGCTACTGCTGTGGCTGGCAACGCTTGTTGGACTGCTATTGTTGTTGCTGCTGCTGTTAATATTGCTCTTATTGCCGTTACCGTTGCGCTCATCGGTCATTTTTTCAGCCGTACCAGCAGTAGCTGCAGCATTTTTACGCCGTACATTAGTTATGCTTTTTTGTTGTCGCTACACTTTACATTAATTTCCGTATATATGCATATAAAAGTAATTTCTCTGTTTCTGTTCCTTTTCGATTTTATTTTTTCTTATTTGTGTTGTTTTTCTTTCAGCATACATGCACACGCACACATCTACACACATTTGTCGTCACTGTTGCTGCACACAGCAGTTATTTTCACTGCTGTTGAGAAACTCTAAATTACGAAAGAAAGATAAAAATGTTTTTAAGTTTTATAATTTCATATTTGTTTTGCACTTGTTCTTGTTATTAAACGCTTGCATTTTGTTTTTATATATCTTGTGCTCCATCTTTTTACTCCACACTCTGTTACATACACACATACACACACATGTTCTTACACAGACAAACACTTTCCACGTTAACTCAAGCCACGAGCAATACTCGCTACTTCACTCGTTTGCCTCTCTCTCTCACTCTCTTTCTCTGTCGCTCTCTGAGCGAGTGTCCGGCGCTCACACCCAAGAACATTGCTGCGTGCTCCAACTGCCATTTTGTTTAATTTTTAATTTAAGCGTACGTTTAAATTTACATGCTTGGTTGCTTTATGTGCAACAACAACAGGCGCACTATGGAATGTGTCCTAGGTTATGAACAATTCATTGTTTTTAGTTGCATTCAACAGATAGTATTGCAACAATAATTACTTATATAACCAACAAAGCCGGTAAATAATTTTAAAAACAATTCTTTGACGAATTAAAAAAATTAATAAAAATAAAAAATCTACGCATAATCACAAATATGGTTATCAACACGACCTATTGGACTTCGGACGTATACATACATACACATATGTATTGCCATATGTTTTAAGATGCTGCGTAGTCCACAACGAAATTTATTAGGTACTCATCGAGCTGACTTCGTATCAGTAAAAATGTAAAGCTATAGTTTCACATTTCATTATTGTTCTCTAAGCGCGCACAAAACAACATTGTTTTTGTTGTAAATTCCTTGTGCACACTGAGCAGTGCGCGGCCGTTGATTATCGCACAAGTTGACGGCGTCGCTACCTAAATATGCCAGCTCGGCACCGTATTGGGGGAGCGTCTGCTATCATCTTATGTTGTCGGAATCTCAACAATTATTTTTTTTTTTAGCCATCCATGCGTTTACACCGCAATTTTATTTTAGAAATGCACCACATATTTTGTTATTTACTTTCACACATATTCACAATTGACGGGCATATGATTAGAGCGAGCAGGAGTACAAAGAGCGTAGCACGACACAAAACGAAGCGGAAGAGGAGGAGATAAAATAATAGAAAAAACGTTCTCCAATTACCAATACCATCGGCAATGTTTTTCACATTTTCACTCGAAACGCGCGCAAAAAATTACACAAAATAAAAAGCATAACGTTGCTGAATGTTTGTTGGGCACCTTGCAACTATTTTAAACGAATAAATTACTAAATAAATACGTTAAAACTTAATTTTAAAAAATTATCAACGAAAAACGCAGTGCACAAGCACAGACGGTAGGGAAGTTGATATCGATGGTATGTATCGATTAATAATTATTAATGCGATATTTTTCAACTCGAAAATTATGTAACTATCGATATTTCTTATGAAAACAACAATGGTCAATGTCAGTGTTGCCAACTACGCGATGCAAGCTGAGCGCACAATTGAAAATTTACTAACGTACTAACGTAATTGGATTGCACAGGTGAAGTTTAAGGGATATTGTAATGTTTATTTAAATATATTTATTTTAGCTAGGCAAATATTAAAGGTTTACAAGTGTCTTTATTTCTGGTTAATACTGTATGTTTGATAATAATTGGTTATTTCAATGTATGAGCATGGAATAAAATATAAGATTAACTTATGTGTATGAATGTATGTAGTCGAATTACAACCCACTTGCTGCTTATAAAGTAATACAACTCCATTCTCTTCTATACGTTTTCTACGTGACAACCGCCGACGACACAATATAGCAAAATATCTTAAGTAATTGTATGTTTCTTTATATGTATGTATTTACTTAATATGTAATACATTTTATTATGTAGTATAGGCCGGATGCCTTCTTTATATTGTTGAGTCGTTTTAATTCTATGCGCGCTGCTGATATGAGTGAAAAGTTGTCAATTGCACAAACGTGATTAAGAATAGATAGTTAGACACCTTGTAATATTGCACAAAGGAAATTGTAGTTTACACAACAAAGGGCCCACAGTTAAAAATTAATTTAATTTAGATTTGTTTTTGTTTTGTTAAAGTGTTTTTTTTTTTTTAACATAATTTAAATATCACAGACTTTTTGCCAATTGAATTCATATGCTTCGTCAATTTTGTTCATGCCAAATCAAATACCAAAATAATCGAATTAGAACAGAAAAGAACGAAATCTTATAAATATGGATAGCTCAAGGGATTGCAGCTTAATCTAAGACTCTAGCCGGATTTAAGCGCATAATTCTAATGACATAATGACACTAGCTAAACGATGGGAGACACGCAACTTTCTACTAGTGTCATCGTGTTATAAAATATCAGTCAAATATTGAAATGAAATCAAGTCTTGTGGTAAACATGGCACATAATAGGTAATTGGAAAACCATGAGCCAAGCCTATAAAGATGAAATTCTATTCTATGTAAATACTGTATGATGCTCGGAATCGCAGGAATATAAGATATTACCTAATGTAATTTAATTTTGATTCGATTGTGAGCTTTCCAATCCAATTCAGTGCAGATTATCCGTTCGATTGGATTGCAAGCCAAGCGTATTCATACCCATGCCTTGTGGCACGCCCACTCCCACGCCTACACCCACACCGACAGTACCCTCGCTTTCGCTCTTCCAGGACGAAACAGGAATGTGGGGTGCCGGTAGGCAATTGCGCAACGTTTGCACAATCTGAATGGTGTCCATGAGAGCTGTGGAGGAATAATAAATATTTTAGCTAAGAAGCTATAACTGATAGTTGATGAGATTCACTTACTCTTCTGCAAACTCTCGCTTTGCTTGCCATAGGGCTTACACATGGAAGGCCGTATGTATGTCTTCATGCGCGACATGTTTCGCATTAGCTCTGAAAATATGCGCACAATCTTGTCCTGGCCAACTGCCATGTGATCAATCCGATTGGCATCGTGACTGGCCCAGGCGCCATTATGCAACGCCAACAGATCTTTATTTGATTCAATTGACTCCAAATTGGATCTGTTAAGAGAGAGTTTACAATGATATTAAATCGAACAATTGATAAAAAAAAATTAGATAAGCTCACCGCAAGGAATCAGAGATATTCTTATGCGTAAACTGATCCATCGATGAGTGAGAGGAAGACGATGACGACGAGTGTGGCGATTGTGAAGGCGGTGGCAAGGAATGATGCGTATGATGCACCTGTGCCCCAATGCTAGATCCGACTGTTGCCGAGGAGTTAGTCGTAGTTAACGGCGTCGGCTGTTGCTGATTAGAGGCGACAGCTGCAGCCACCGCTTGTGACTGCATCATGCCTTGAATTTGCAAATTGGCAGCTGCTGCTGCAACAGCCATTGGGTCAAAATGCTTGGGATCGAGCTGTGCGAATACACGTTGCTTCTCCAAAGCACTTAGATTGCCAAGCTTCTCCAGGCTCTGCTGCGCGAGCACGCGATTTTGCTGTTGAATCAATGCGGCTGTCAGCTGTTGCTGGTGTTTTGCCTGTGCTTGAGCATGAGCCTGTTGCTGCTGTTGTTGCTGCTGTTGTTGTTGTTGCTGTTGTTGCTGCTGCTGTTGTTGCTGCTGTTGCTGATGCTGCTGATGATGCGCGACAGCAGCGGCCGCACTTATTTGCGATAGCTGCGATTGTATGCTACTCTGCTGTTGTTTAGTTAAGTGCTGCAACTGGGGCGGAACCTTGGAGCCGCTCGATTTGGACAAGTCAATCTCGACAGGAGCAGCGTTGTTGCTGCCACTGGGTACGCCACTAGCAGCACTGGCAACAGCCGAACTAACTGTAGCGCTACTTCCTGCCGCAGCGCTTGGGGGGAGATGCGATAGACGCTGCAAAAAGTCAGGCGTATTAACGCCAGGATATTGTTGTTCCATAAATGGCATAGGGGATATGCCCATGTGATTCTTATAATAGCGACAGGCCGGACTGGGACACGATTGCACCACTTCAACAATAAACTCCTTTTCCATGCCGAACTGATCTCGTCCAATGGTGTACGACTCAATGACCGCGCGCACTGTGGCGTCTACACTGAGATGCAGACCATGCGGTCCCGACATGTGCTTCAACATTACCGCATTGGCAAAATGCTCAAAGGGCAGCACAATCTTTCCATTGTCGCGCAATATAAGTCGCCCCTGTGAGTCCAGAGTAAGTCGATTGGCCAGGACTCTGTGTGGGAAAACAGTGAATTGGCTGGAATGAATTGCTAATTGTCTATACTTACTGCAAGTAGGCGGCACTGGGCAGCATGGCGTTGTCCTTCAGATCACTGAAGCATTGCAACAGTTCGGCGCTCGGGTTCCAGCCCTTGTTCTGCAGATAAAGCTGCAGCAGCATATAAAGCTTCTCGGTAACATAGCCAACGCCGGCGTTTGGCTGCTGTTGTAGCATTTCGGTGTGTGTTGGTCCGCCCATGGAGCTGGTTATGTTACTGCTGCTGCTACTGCTACTGTTGTTACTGCTTACTGCATTGACCACGCCCCCGGCCACTGGGCCTTTGGATAATGCCGCCTTCATTGTCTCAGAGAGATCCAATTTGTAATTTTCTGGATAAAAGTGCTTGACGTGCTCCTGCAATCAGGTTTCAAGTATCCACACAAACGTAAATGCAAACACAAACACAATCACATTTAGTTTTCACACACAGACAGGGGCAATCGTATACATGCACGCCAACACCTATACACCCCCACCCACATCCCACCCAACCAATCTACAAATATACACACAGCACACACACTCACCAAATTGTTCATTTTTCGGCTATGTACGGTGCGTCGAGTGCAGCGGCATCTGCATCTATTTGGAATGGCGCCACCAATGCATCTTTGAAACACTAACGGTTATTGCTAGTTGTCCAATTGGATTGCAATTGTGCCTCTGCTTTAACAGCGACACAAAAATGAAAATTGTATGTGTCTGCCGACTACTTCTGTTGTCCTTCGGCAAGGAAGTGGGGACTGTTGATACTTATACTTATCGATTAATTGCAGCATAGACGATGTTTTAAGCACGAGATGATACATCGATATTTTTATTTCGTTGCCAGTGGATATTTGCGATGAGATTATTGCCGATAATTTGAAGTCGTATCATAAATTTGCATATTACAGTTTGAACTGTTATACTGAAAAAACTATCGATAATTGCTCATAAACGGTTTTTTGTAATTATATAAATTATCCATAATCACCTCACATACAGAACAATTTATACAGGCTTAAATTTGGTATGCATATTATATTTACTGAGCTTAATCTAATATAATATTGCGAAACAAATAAGAAAGTAAAATGACATTTCTTAATGTAAGTCCATTAGAAAATAATTATACTCATTTTCGTAAGCTAAATAACTTGTATGTGCAAAATGTAACTACTATAAATAAGCTAATCATAATTTACAGCACGCAAATGGCGAAAAAAGTCGACAAGCACGCGATAACCAAAACGAAAGGTGTAACAAGTGACGCCCTCATTAACCCATTGCTGTGTGGTCAGTCATTCAACTGTTCATAAAAACTAAATAAAACAAAACAAAGGACACCACCAACTGAAACAGGTGGAATAAGCATATTGCATTGGGGTTGGGTAGCTATAGCAACTTTTGGCAAACAATAAAGGATTCGTACCCACTCCACTAAGAACTTGTTTACTTGCCAACGTGCAACCGCAATTGCAGCTCAAATTCAGTTCACATTTGTGATTCGTTGGGCCCACATCGGAAAACGAAAGAAATATCATATATATTTTTTGAGTATTATGTGCTTCCTTTTGGTAAATTGGTTCTTCCCATTGTTGTGGACAACAGTTTTCATTAAGCTAGGAAACTGTACGATTTTGGATTCGAAACCATCGCCCACGCCACACACATTTCGTTTTCAACATACTCAGAAGTGTCTCAGGAATGAGTTCTACAATTTGAACTATTTTCAATGCTCACCCTGCAATGAGCCTGGGGACGGAGACACGAAGGAGCTGCACCCTACTGCAGACAGTAAGTGGGTCTATTGATTAAACAAATGATGATGCAGCAGATGGGGGAGCTGTAGCACTCACTAGACATTGCATTTAGAGCGTTTATCACGAAGTAGAAAAGTGCATGTTTGATTTACTATTGAGGTTAAGTTTTGAGTGACAGAAGCAACCCATTTAAGTAGCAACCCCTACAAAGAGCTGGGAAGCTCGCTTTGCGTTATGAGGATCACGTGAAAATTCTGATGTATTTAAGCTCTTATAGATGTGCTCCAGATAACTTGTCTTTATATCAATGTATGCATATTATCATATAAATTTCACATTGAAGTCTATGATTAGATATTTTAGCAAATAATGAAGATATATCATTATATGTGATATGATTTTTGAAATGGTAGAAACAGCGATTAATTATGATTGATAACTTTTATAACGTATCTATTCTAAATAATGGGTTTATGTATAGTCTTGACCGATTGCGCAATCTCTCTAATTATAAGGCTCTCTAATTATAATCTCTTTCTCTCCCTTTTTTTGTACTTTTCTTTCTCCCCCATTCAGAGTTCGGTTGCCACTGTCCAGTTGGGTATATATCCGTTTTCGAGAAGTCCAAACGTTGGCCAACCTGCAATGAGATCTGTAGCAATGCCACAAAGTCCTCTGAGAACTGTACGGAAGCTCAGTTGCCATCCACACAGTGCAGCTTCCAGTACCTCAATAGTTCAACAAGCGGTTCCATAGTGTTGACCAAAATGAGCTCCGGCAGCAACATCAGCGACTGTCATAGCTGCAATGCTGCGTATAATTTCCACTACCAGGACTATTGCATAGCCAACGCGCTGTTACAGCCCTATTTGCACTACAACGCCTTCTGGCAGACCACCATGAAATTGAAGTCCAGCTCCCCCAGCCGGCTCCACTTTGGGGACCTCAAGTTTGTTGCCTTCTTTTGCTTGGCACTCAGGAATGACAGTGCATGCCAGGAACTGGCCAATTTGTGTGTCCTTTCGCACTACTCCTTGGACAAGCACTCGCCATGCAGCCCCTTTCTGCTGACTCAAATGTCGGATGTGGCCATCAAATATGCACATGCGGGCGAACAGCTGCGCGCTATGGAGCCCTTTCTATTCTATAAAAAAGGCAGAGCAACACGAGAGTTGCTTACCACCACGCTCCATCTGGCGAATCAGACGGAACTACAAATCTTTAGCACAACCTACGACCTGGCGGGGCGTCTTAAGCGTTGGGGTCCTCTTCACTTGGAGCAGCTTAACCTCTGTCCAGCTCAGGGGGCACCTACTTTGGGCTTAGAGCAGCAGCACCAGCCGGAGCTTAGTTGCCAGCTGAGTCTGGAGCAGCTCATAGATTTCGCTAGTCGAGACGGGAATGATAACTATCATAATCTCTATCTCAACTTTAGCAGCAACTGGTCATATCTGCTACACCAGCTGCCTGTGCTCATCGAGTCACTGACTGCAGAGAATCAGGTAGAGTATCTGAATATCCGAAATAATCCAAATTTCTTATTCCTCCTTCCCCATTGCAGCGTTCGCAGGAAGAGGAATGGCAGCTAGTAAAGCGCTTTCAGCTGATTTCCGCTCATCCCCGTGATAATCGAATGCATCCTGTCTTGCCGCTTTATGAAGATGCCCACAAGCTACAGCTCTACCGCTCCTTGCGATATGTGGATCGAGTGGAACTGAAGTACAACGTCCAGGCTGGCCAGCGACTGGGACTGCCGCTGCTGAAGCTCAGCTATCGTCATATTGAAATTGCGGGGAACGCGTCCTTGACTCAGCTATATCCATTTCGACTGCGCGTCCACTTTGAGCAACTGCATCAAAGCGGCACTGCGAAGCTCTTTCTGGAGCTGGCTTTGCCGTTGCTGCTCCTTTTTGCCTTCATGGCTGCACTGCTCCGCCTACAGAATCTGAGACGACGCCGCCGCGCCGAGCTCTGTCAGACCATAAATCTGCTGGAGCTGCTGCTCCAACTGGCCGCCAATGTGGCATTGGCGTTACTGATCACGGCGTTGCTATTGTTGGCTCTGCAGGCTTGCATGCCTCAGCGATTGGCAGTGCTCATATATCCCGCCTGCCTGCTGCAGCTCATCTTTCTTGCTGTACATCTGCGACGCGCCAGCCAACTGGAGCTGTTCCTCATCGATTGGGAACGCCCACGCAGCAGCTGTGAGGGTCAGCGCCTGAATCTGGACAGCTCCTCGCTCTGCTCCAGTGTGCGCACCTATGTCGCTGAGAGCAGCGTTTCCGCCTGGCGAATTCTCTTTACAGCCAATGCCTGGATTAGGCTCAGCTGTGCCCAGCGATATTCCAGTTTGGTTCAAGCCTTTGTCGTGATCGCCGTCTATCAGCTGCTCCAGCATTACGGAAAGTTTCAAAGTCTTAGCTATTGCTTGATAAGTGCTGTGTATGTGGCCACATATCTGATGCAACTGATGTTGCTTCGAGTACTGCAATCCAATCCACTCCAGAAGTTCGTTGATCTCTGCAGCCTGGCCAACATCTCACTATTTTCGCTACTCGAGCCGGGCTATGGCTATTATATACATGGACGTTCCCCGCATGGCTTCGCCGATACGGACATGTCCTCCATGATCCTGCAGCTGCAGCGTGAGGCACAGAATATGTGCGGCCGACGTGGACTGCTTATTGATTCGGATAAGCAGTCCTACATCATATTGCCACCACGTAATCTGCGGTGGGTATAACTTTACTCTATATCGTCGTAATAGAATTTTAACTTGGGAACTCTGCCGGATTTTTAGCATATATTTGGATCGCCTGCTTTTGCCCTTCCAACGTAGCCGAGATGGCAGCATGTCCCAGACGTTGCTCTACCAAAAGGAACCGCAGATCTCCAGCATTGATGGCCAAGTGGAACGCACTTCCATTGCCTACGCTAGCGTCAATCGGTTCTTCTGTGCATTTATCGATCACGTGAGTTGACAATATATTAAGAGTTAATATTTACTAAAATAATATTATAGCAATAATAACTTAAAACAGTTAAATCTATTTTTAAATTTCATGAATTCAATATACATTTTAAGAAATTAAAAATATGAATTTTATGCAGGCCATCAAGGATATGGATTATATCATTAAGGAAAAAACATTGACGGAAAAGCTATTCAACTGTGAAATTGAAAACTATCTAACGGAGAGTGAGTTATGCAAGATGCTTATAAATCATGGAAAATTTCATATTTATGTATCTCATAGATAAGGGCACCTTCTACATTGATGATGCACTGAGCTTTAGTCGCGTTCTGCTGCTGGGCAACCATTTACATATATTTGTACTGGAGATACTTGTGCTGCTCTCCATCTATTTACTGACCTCCAGTCTGCTACTTGGCGTCGCTATAGCTTGCGCCTTGAATATGGTGAGCCAAAACATAAATATCTTAATTCTCGACCATTTCCGACAGCTGTCCATCAATCATTGCAGCTTATTCGTCACATCTTCAAGCGCTGGGTGCGTCGCAATGTCTCGCGCAAGACGCTGATTGATGAGCGATTTCTGCTGTAGCCCTACCAGCATCTGGACGAGCAATATATGCGGGACGATGGCTTCTTTGGTATATGATAGATTAAGAATGAGCATCGAAATGAAATGTTGCCTTTTTCTTTTATTTAAAAATCCACTTGATAGTAAGTAGTACATTCAGTATGTAATTTCTTATTTTGTTTTCGATATTTATAGTAAAACTTACAGCTAAAACAGATATATAATAATTTCTATGGTTTTCACATTCAACATATAAACATATTAGGCATCCATCCGCCTGGTATCATTCCACTTTCAATTGTTTGCCTCAATTTTGATAGGATAGCACACACATTCATGTTCCTCTATTAATACATCCATATACATATATATCTATAGTAGACATTACATCTATTTAATTTCATTTCTATGTTTTTCTATTTTATTGTTTTTATTATGTGACATTAATAGGATTTGTGTTTATTTTTATTATTATGATTTGATTAGATCGGTTAGAAGATATTCTTGTATTTTCCATTTCAAGTTTGTAGTTGAAATATATATAAAAATATTCGCAATATGGAGAATTGAGTTTTATTTCAGTTTCAATTTCATGTCGTACTAATATACATATGTATGTAAAATAAAAAACAAAACACTTGTCCACAGCATTTGACTGGTTAGTTGAGTTGGAATTAATTATTATTATAGATAGTTGTGTCATATATGTATGTACTATATATACACACCAATACCAATGCATATTTATTGTGCACTGACCTTATTTCATTACGGAGTAGTGTATTGTTATGGCTCTAATGGGTATTACTAGTAGACTGATTGGCTGCATGCTTTATCGGCTCTATATGGTATACTTAAATTAAAACGTCAAACGTACAACATTAAAAGATCTATGTTTTTATAATATATATATTTGTGTATATATATTGTATTGTTTTATATTGTGGGTTTCATTCATTCAAACTTATTTTCCTAATTGCAACTTATTATAAATGTCTTCTTATACGGTATACGAATGTTTGTTGTTCTATAAGTGAGCGTGAATAAAAAAAAATGGGTTGAGAAATGCTTAAGTTTTAGATATATGTATATATATGGATAAATACAGTATCGGAAAAATGGGCAATAAATATCGTACATAGCAAATTCGAAAGTAAAATGTCAAAATGAGTTGGGATGCTGTAATTATTATACATATTAAAATTAAATTTGTTCATTTTCATTTTGTTATTTTTTTTTTGCTATCACAAAAGTAAATACAACTCTAACACATACAGAGGGTTAGAGGGTAGAGTCTGGATCACTCTTAAATTATGCAGTGAATTTGGAGTAAACTTAAGCTCGGAATTAATCTCTACTTGGTATATATGTTTACCTATGTATATTTAACACTTAAGAGTTTAGCTAAAACATCTGCATATGACTTAACTAGCGACCTTCAAGTTTATTGTTGCATTATTAAATCATAAATCATATCAAATGACTTGCTTATTTACAGTTGGTTAATTAAAAACTAATTGTACACCAGCTACAAAATTCTTAGATATTCATATTTACTCATATAGCGCCATTCATAATTTATAACAGTGTTGGATTTAGTAGTTGCGAGTGTGTACGGATATGTTTCTTCATGTGTCACTCAATACGCTCTATAGTCCGAAAGCAGCGGCATACGCATGCAGAAGCTGAAGCACATAATCGGCGCTCTCCTGTATTACATTGCTACCCAAACTACGAGGTCGCTGTGCTAAATCCAATTCCAGATCCGCTAAGTACGGCTCTTCTCTTTTATCAGCTTCTTTTTCCGAATGCGGCGGTTCACCATCTTCGGGTTCCTTTTGATTTTGTTCTGAATTATTGTGTTTATCTTTCTCTTCCTCGTCTTTTTTGTTAGACTTCTTTTCTTTATCGTCTTCTTCATCCTCTGGCTGCGGCTGCTTCTCCGTGCCCTTCTTATCGGGCAAAAGCTCGTTCTATTCATGCGCCGACCGACGCAACCGCTTGGCCGGCAAGCAAGCATCTTCGCTGTCTGCCAGCGAGGCAGAGCTGCAGCTCTTCCGGCCGTTCTCAACTGGGGCTGGAGACCCTGCAGCAGCCGCCGCCTGCAAGCTTGGCGAATTGGACGAAGTGGAAGTGCCGCTCTTGCTGACATAGTTGGGCAGCCATTTAGCTAGTTGCTCTTCAAAGAAGTTTTCCAAATATTTGGCATTGCTATATGTCTTCGAGTCCTCCTGTGTGAAAGTAATATAAGCACAAATTTATAAAACTGATCGAAGTTCGACGAATACACAATTCACTCACCTGATAAAAGAGGTAAGTATTCTTGAAGATTAATCGAACATCGGAGACAAAGCCAGCTATATCCTTGTAGTGATTAGGACTGGAAGGATCTAAGCGCGTGCGAATAACATCTAATGACATAGGGCTATGGAGACAACTCAAGTCAATATATTATTCAAAGAAAACAATTTACAGGGTCTTACTTGCAAATAATCTCATAGTACTGCGAGTTAGCCGGTGATTCCGGTTCACGGAAGTTGAGACTCTGCTCATACTGGCAGTAGAGCTCCAGACATATACGCTGCAGTATTCTCAACTCCAAGCTGCTCAGCTCGCCCGGTTGCGACTTTTCGTTACCCTCAACTTTGGTTAGCTCCTTGAGATTGACACACAACAAACATTGCCAGCTCTCGCTCTCGTCCGGCAGCGAGCTAATCGCGGGTATGTGACAGTTCTGATGGAATACTTTTGGGCATTTGTCGCAGCACATCAATTCGCCGCCATCCAGGCATACAGCACACCAATCCTCATTGGGGTCGTCTTTTTGTTCATTTTTATTATTAACTGATATGATTAGTTGTATGTTTGCATTCGTGTACGATGAGTGTGTATGGGTGTGTGTATGTTTATGTGTATGTGTATTTGTTTCGTGTTGATTTGTTTGTGGTTTGATTTGATTTGTTTTGTTTGGTTTCATTTTGAATTGTCGAATATAATAATTTATTGGTTAGTAATTGATTTTTACGGTTTATTGCGCGTTTAAATTGATTTTTATTTTGGGTTTTTGGTTTGGTTTTCGGAAATCGAGTTTTGCAGTTGAAAATAGAAATAAACAAAGCAAAGTTACATGAGAATTGAATAAAATCGATTTAAAACCAGCAGCAAAGTAATGTTAAATATAAAACTCAGATACAATGCTTAATAGTGACAGATTGAAATAACCAGATTGTTGCTCTCACTCATTCAAATAGGAACTCAAAGGATTAAGCTATTTAACATAATTATTTTAGTAATAGCAGATTAGAAACTTACAGCATATTTATTTATTTAAAAAATAATCATTTTTAACGAAAAATACGCAAGGACAGTTTTTATATACATTACCAAATGTTTTCAGTTTAAATTTTGTAAATTTCTTTTAAGGAATCAAGATTTAATCCTTAATTTTTGAGAGATGTCAAACACTCACACACCCAAAACCCATAGAATTAGCCTAGACCGAAAGCGAAATTAGCTGTATGAAAGAGGTACTCACCTTCCTGGGTATTGGATAAATCCGTCGAGCTATGTACCTGCGGTGAGGTGGTTTTGGTACGCCCTTCTGGCAGTACTTGTACACCATTCGAGTCCAATTTGGCAATAGTTGCAATTAAATCATTTATGGAGTCATCACGCACCTTGTCAATAGGTTCAGTAAAGTCCTTGGTGTTCTAAGTCAGCAAAATAAAACAAACAAAAAACGCTCTAGATATCAAATTGTTAATAATAATATTAATATTACCTCATGAGTGCTAGGGCTGGGTGTCTTTGGATTTGTCGATGTGACATTTGAGAGTATGGAAACCGCCGGGCCAAGACCAAGAGCAGCTGCATTTAACTGCGCTATTGTATTGGCAGAGGACGATCCATTGCTTAAGCCTGGCAATGCAGGCCCTCCCATGTTGAGACTGGGCGGTGTACTATTCTTTAGAGTATTTGGCGATTTTAATGAGATTTTAAAATTTTCCGAAGTCTGACGGCCATTAGCGAATGGTAATAGCGGTCCTTGCTGCTGGCACACTGTAATTATTCAATTGTTAATCGTATGGAATGGATTTGTTATTAATGACACTCACTGCTTGATTGCTGCGCGGATTGTGGTATATGCCATTTGGCGAGGCTGTGCATAGCGCTACTCAACTGTGGTGAGGTTTGTGGAGGCCCAGCGTTAAAACCACCCTGGCTCCCATGAAACCCCAATGGCTGTTAATAAAACCAATAACCATTATTATTAATTTCATTTATAAAATAATTTATGAGCTGAATGATTTTGCTTACATTCTGCATGGGATTGGGCATCATTGGTGGTCGTTGCAGTGCGCCAGGGGAAGGTATCTGTCCGCCCCCGCCGGCACTGGCACTGGCCATAGCTGCTGCTGCGGCCTGCTGCTGGGCATGACTCGCCATGCGCTGGTATTGTGACTGGAAGCGCGCGTTGCTGTTCATGAAGCTGCTGTTGTCTCTGGGCCCGCCTCCTGGGCCGCCGCCTTGTCCGAAGCTCTGTTGACCGGGCATGAAATGTGGGCGCATCGGTGGCATCGATTGCTGGTGGGCCGGTGAAGGTGTGCCCTGCGGTCCGCCTGGATAGCTAGGCGGGCCATTAAATGCCAAATGAGCATTAGGACTTTGTGCTGCTTGGTTGTTTAGCAATCCTCGCAGGCTGATATCTATGGATTAGAAATTCTATAAATATCTACTTTACATATGAATATATCTCTAACTAACCCATATTTTGCGGATGTGTAGAAGAGCTGACATGTGGTTGACCCTGACGCTGCATGCCAACAGGTGGCATGCCACTAAACCGAACTATAAGTAAACATACAGAGAGTGATCACAGCACGAGTTAGCATCCAAAATAAGGATTATTTAGGATCAAGCTAATTGTAGCATACCCTTACCTGAGCCATCGCCTGGAAAGGAGCGACTCATGGACAGATTGTTGAATTGCTGTTGTGCAGCCGCATTGCTATACATTGGGGGCCCGTTCTGTGGTCCAAAAGCACCTGGTGGACCGTTGGGTGAAAGGCCAGCTGTCATACCCGGAGGCAGGCCAGGTCGTAGCGGTGGTGCCATATTTGGGCTAGGTGGCTGACGAGGTGGCGGTGGTTGTGGCCCGTTTTGGGAGGGCGCTGGTGCCGGCGGATATGGTTTGCCATCGACTATAACAATGCCCAGTTGCGAGATAACCTTTTGCAATTCGGCGACCTGGTTTAGTTGCACCTGAATACGTACTGGAATCTCTGGATTGGGTATATCAGCACGCTGACATTTCAGCTTTTGCAGATGGCGCACAAGTGATTTTTTGCTCGATAATATGGCAAAGTCGCTGCCCTTTTCAAGGGCATTCTGCATAAATTCAATGCAATGATCCGTATTATCCGAAAGCAACTGCAGTGTCTCTTTTTTCTCAACCAGGACCTTCAACTTGCTGTCGCATACCTCGTTGAGGCGCATAACCAGCTGCTTGCCGCGCATATTGACTGTGTTGGTTATTTTGACAACCATCGCTGTTATTTCCTTTATTAGATCCTTCTTCTTGTCATGTATCAGCTGTTGGCGATCATCGATCACCTTTGTGGCGGAGGAGAGCAAAAAGCGCTTGTAGTTGATCTCAGAAACAAGCGTGGACAACGCCTGTCGCGACTCTGTAGCAATCTCATGGGCGAACTTATACTTGTGATCTCGATGATCGCTCAGTTGGCAATCTCGACAAGTGAGCTTGTCGCAAGTTTCACAGAATAACGATAGCTTCTCTTGAGTGTGCAGCTGACACATGTGCAGTTTATCGACGCCAACAGTGCCAGCCAGTTGTTCATTGTTGGCCTCATCCTTTGGCTTGATGGTGTGATCCTTGGTGATCTTAAGACGCTGATGAGCCTGGACACAGCTGTCGCATATGTACTCCGAGCAGTCCACGCACCACGATGTGGCCACTGCGCCATCCGAGCAGCTGCTGCACTGTATGTTGGCCGTTAACAGACTCTTCAGGCCGTCGGTAGACCCGTTACCATCGCCACTATCTCCGGCAGCGCATTGCTCAATCAGGAACTGATTATCAATGATGTATTCATTCTGCGAGGCATTGTCGCAGACTGGACAGTGTATCAGTGGCGGCAGAGACCGATCTAACTCCGAGAACTTTGTGTTCACACACTGTCCACATGCTACATGCAGGCACTCGAGCAGTTTGGGACGATCATTGATGCTCAGCACCTGAGCGCAGTAAACGCATTTGAACAGTGTAAATTTAGCAGATGCCGATGAATTTGATTCTGACTGTAAATATATAAAGAGAAGAGCAATTCTTGTTACCAACTAATACAATCACAAAGCATTATGTCTACTAAAAACTGAAAAGTAAAAAATAAAATGACACGACTTTTAGTAGTTTAATCAGAAGGCTCTTCTATTTAAGTGGCCTATCTTATCTATAAGTGGAAACCCTCTTGATCAGGACACTTTTTAGTAAATCTACCGAGTGCTGCTATCAATTATATTATTTCTCTTTATTGCTTATTGAAATGACTTGTGGATAAGGTAGAACTTTCACCAGCCCATGATGAATGTTCTGCGAATATTATCTAATCTAATCTGAACCTATCGTAGTCATTTGATAAACCACAGCCCGATGAGCTGACAAACTACCTGTTAAAAATAAAAAAATATGGAAATTTGCTGTGGCTTTTGGAATATCTTGGTGCAAACATTATTACACTATCAATAAAAAGGCGGAAAACAATTTAGTATCTGATTGAAACCAAAAGAATGTAATAATACAATAGAGAGACAGGTTCCAATTCAAGTATGAATTGAAATTAAATATTTGTAAGGAAATAGGCATGCAGTATCCGAAAAGCAATTTCTCTTTTATAATTAATTGCACCAACTTTCCAAAGAGAAAGGGGAGCATACAGTTTTACGATGAACGAAATAAAAGAACCAGCTTAGCTCTCGGTGTAAACAAATAAATAAAGCTCCCTACTGATACTGGAGAGGCGCTGGAATGGGTTGCACAGACATCTGCTGGTCCTGCCGCTGTTCTGGTCGTCTTCTGCGACTGTCGCAGGGCAAGATTGATTAGTTTTATCTCGAGTTGGAGCACATAAATCCAATTGATTGATTATGCTTTTGCTCGATAAAGATTACTGCATTGGTATGCGAGCATTTTACTTGCAATGGCCAGAGTATATATATGTATGTGTTTGGTTGCGTGGCAACGGAAGCGCCATGGACATTGATGAATGCGCCACATCAGGCAAGAACCAGTCGTGAAATCGTGAAACAGTGCGAATTCGCGGTTCGGCATTGTAACAAGACTGGGATCCATCACTGCAATTCGTATGCTACGATCCAGCGATCCATCTTGGGACTCGATGTTGACGTCAACAGTGTCAAAGAGAGAAAGTTGGACTCGGTTTTCTTTATCGAATCTCTCTCTCTCGCCCTCTCTATCTCTTCTCAGCTTTCGAAACGCCTCAGCGCTCATAAATCATCTGGGAGCAGCCATTTTGTATTTATATATACTAAATTTATACTATATATATGTATATATGGGAAACTTGCCACATGCCCACGCGCAGCTAGCACAGCCAACATAGTTTCAGAGTCAGGGCATTAGGGGGCGACGTTCCACTTGAAAGCCATTCATCATAATGTATGCTCCATAGCCGTTCTCCTCACTTGCGGCACTCGCTCGCTCGTTCGTTCGTTCTCTAGCCAAATGTGGGCCTCCAAACAGGTCGGCTCTACGCCACTGGGCTCGTGCACCCGCTCGGCTCGTTCATATTGGATGCTCGGCCGGCGCAGCCCACTTAAAAGTTGCTCAAGTCCAATGCGACTGACATACCATTATAAATGTTGCAAAAAAAAAAAAAAAAAGAAACCAGCTGCTACCCCCATGTTTTCAATCACGTTGAAATGACTCGCCTTAAACTGAAAGCGGGTAGCAAACTGGTTTTTGGTTCGCATTTTGCCTCTACACAGACATCAATAAGGGTTCAATTTGGCCGGGTAATTCCAATTAAAAGATGCTCCCAAACAGCCAATCAAGTATCAAAAGCATTAAATAGAAATCTAAACTATGAATTATTCATATTTTGTATGCTCTTTCATGGCATTTAAATACTGTGGAAGAATAGTTGGTTTTTATAAGACTAATAAAAATATAAACATAAAACCTTTCCATTGTAAACCAATTGAACAAATTGGAACATTACTTTTGATTAAACTCAAATAATAAAGTATTGGTAACTCCGGTTGATTCTATGTAGAGAATGGTACGCGCATCTAACGATTTCAAATGCCTAACTGGGCTATGGTAGGGTATGAAATTAAATGGACGTTGCCTTTGTGCTGTCCATTAGCAGCATCAGCAACAGCAGCACATCAGCAGCCCACGGCAGTATGTGCCAAGCATCGCATGTATAAATAATTCTAAATCAATTTCAATTAGAAAATGTTGAAAGGATGCCCCAACAACAATGGCTGAAAGCTACAGCTACGGCAACAACAATTGAGAGCTTCAATAACGCTGGAGCGCACAGCACGAAGCACTAGAAATGTGCTGACATGATGGAATGGCGGCATGACGGCTGCCACAGAATGAGTGCAGCTATGATTGATGTAACTTTGATGAAAGTAATCACATTTCCATCCAGAATGGCGAAGCCTTTTAAAGCCCTTTCACATTTCATTGAGAATTTATTTGCAATAAGTTTTTCAAGTTTGCTAAAAGTTCCATTCTTGTTAGTCAGAGAAAAACTTTTTTGTTGCGAAAATGAAAGAAGTTCTACAACTATATTTTATTACACGCCCCAGCCTCCCACCCGCGCGTCGCCTTCACCATAGTTGTTGATACTATGACAACGGCAAAAATCAGTTGAAGCTCCCATTGGCTACAACTTTCAGACATATCTCACATGGCAAATCCATTTTTTATTTATTTTGTTTTTTTCAGGCAGCCATAATTCCATTAATTTGCGTGTTCACATCAAATTGGATTTTCAGTTAAGCCGCAGCTTTTGCTGCTCAGAGAAGTTCACTGAGACGAACGAAATTCAGGGCTTTAGCTTTGACAAGCAGTCAAACGAATAACATTTTGAAAATTCAAAGTAATATTTTAAAAGTATACAAAATTAAGTAAAGTAGCTCATATAAATGATAAACAGCTATACATAGACCGCACGACATTGATCAATTTAATTTCATATTCTATTCAAATATAAATATTAATATGCATTTCATCACAATTGCGAGAAATTATTTTTATTCTGCCCTCAAGTCAAGCAATCTAATTTAAAACTAGAAATAAGTTTAAAAACTATATAGACATGGTTTAATTGGGTTATCAACGAAATTTTTGTTTTTGGTATTCCGGCACATCTATGTAGCACTATCTGCGTATACTTTTATTTTGATTTCAAATAATATGATTACGATTTCTTTGTAAGGGTAAATGCAAATGGCATTTTCATGCTATGCTAATTAGCCATGATTTCACCATATTATAATTTTATACTATACTAAATGAAATACCAAACGTCCCGATCATCTGCAATGATAATGCGGAATCGAATGTTAAATATATTTTATTAATGTGCTGTTTGATACTATAATAAATGATGAATAAGAAGATATTTATTTATATAAATGTTATGTCTTCATGTTAGAGATCGAAAGGGGTATATTGGTCTTGTATAATTACTAGAATCGTCCACTGAAGAGATTTATGTTATATTTATTGAAACAGTTAGATATTTGGAGATTGAAATGTTCTCTAGTGCATATATACCCAATGGTCATGTGTTGAATCGAGAATAGGTATACTTCTTACAGTTTACAGACCTTCATAGAACTAAAAAAACAAAAAACAAAAAAAACATAAATCATTCAATGATATCAATATCAGAATAAATGATGCTTATTCGAGAGCAAGCATTAAGCAATCGGTTACGCCCGCTCTTACTTGTGTAGCATTCCACATGGATATACAAGGTACAAATTAAGCTTTCAACATTTCATAATAAATATCCATTAATATTTTGATTACCATTTTGTATTTATGTAATCCACTTTCATTATTCAGATAAGTCACACAACAAATATTAGCATACAAATTGGTTCGGCCGTAATATATAATTCACTTGATTAACTTCAAATTACACTTTTCGATATACATTTCTTGTATATATATAAATCCAGGGGATATTTGCATTTACTCTACAACTTTGTGCGCATTTACAATCACACCAAAATGCAAATTTTTCAAACCAATGATTATGAGATATTTCAGCGCAATGCTATAGCAGATTACATATGTATGATTTTATATTTATATGAGTTAAAGTCAGTTTAAAATATTTCTCTATATATTATTTGCTATATTTTTATTGCAAACTCTTATTAAGTCCGTTTGCTTGTTTCAAATGTAAATGACTAACTTTTAATTAAATGTGCGCAATTACAACAAAAGCATTTAAAATCAAATTTTGCATTTTGCATGACAACAAGAGCAGTAAATTTAATAAATGGCTGGCTGCATTGCTGCACTGCACTTTCGAGGACAGCACAACGGGCAGTTTGGTTCGAGTCAGTGGGTGGCAAATAAATCAATGTTATATGAGAACATGCATCATCTGTGTGCGTCATGAATCCTTACTAAACGGACTCCGGGTGGCGTTCGGTAGCCATTTTGTGAAAGTCCCAAACGCTGCGGGCGGTGCCCTGTTCCCATTGCTATTGGTGCGGGCTCTGCTGGTGGTCGGGCTGGCTCCGTCTTTAGGCTTCAGGTTGCACAAACACACAGTTTGTCAGTCAGAAAGGCCATTATTTATATTTCCCGTCATACAATATACGTAAATATCGTCACTTTACAAATGTACATGCAAAATGATAGAATCAGCATCAACGCTAACGGAAACACGATGCTCCCTTTGCTCGTTTTAAGCAAATGCAGCAAGCAACAAGAATAACATATACAGAATAGAGGTAATTAATTGCAGCAGTCAATTTGAACTTGTGGTCTGCTTGCCGCTTTCATAGTCAAGTCAAGTCAAGTGAAGTCAAATATAACCATCCTGAATTTCAAATACATCCTTTGTGTCTACCAACTGATTGCGGTGCACAAATATCATCAATTACGTATCTTTGTGTTTGACAATGGAAATTAATTAAATGCAAAGCGAAGCATACTAATAATAATTTATTTGCTACAGTTTCCATGGGCAACGCGAATTCAATTTGGTGTGCATCGTCATGGTTTGTTCTTGGCAATAATT